AAGATGAGGGAGCTTTAGGGAACGATTTTGAATGCCTAGGATCGAATGATGGCCTCTGGGGAGCACGACCCTATTTAGCCACCTTTCGCGAGCTTGGATGGTCGGGATTGAGTTAAAGGGGCTTCGCATTGAGGCTTCGGATTGATGCTAGGTGGAAGGGGACATCATCCCAGAGAGTTCGTGAGCCTCAAGCCGGTGAGCCACAGCCTTTGGAAGGCTTTGGGTCAGGATCAGCTGGGGGGGGGACCACCGGAGCTTATTCTCCATTGGTTCCAACCATCGTCGACCGGAGTTTGGGTCGGGTTGACATGGGAAGAAGGATAGGGACACCCTGGAGTCGAGGGTGAGCTCAATTGGGCCTGGGGAGGTCCAATTCGATCGGGTGGCTCGGTTGGACCCAAACCTGCTCGGATTGGGTAGAATTGGGCTCGACCCAGGTCAGATCAGACCCTTGGCTTGATGTAGGAGATAGGTCTGGGTCTGGTCCATCCAATGTAGGTGACAATTGGGTTCAATTTGATCTAGGTTCAAAGATGGCTATGGTTGATCCAAATCTGCTCGGTTCAGGTCAATTTGGGCTCAACCCAGGCTAGGCCAGACCCTGGGCTTGATGTGGGAGGTGGGTCTGGGTCTAGTCCACCCAATGCAAGTGGAAATTGAGTTCAATTTGATCTAGGTTCAAAAATGGCTAGGGTCCGTATGGTTTTGGCTACTTTGAACTAGCCTAAAACTTGACCCAAGTCAACCCAAAGCATGGGCTTGTTGGAGGAAGTGTATTGGACCTATGGCCACTTAATAGAGGCATTGATCAAGTTCAATTTGGCTTAGGGAAGGATTGGCTCAATCCCAAGTGGTTTTGGCCACTTTGGGCTAGCCTAACTCTTGACCCAAGTGGACCCAGAGGCTGGGCTGGTTAAGGGAGATTCAATGACACCTTGATTTATATTCAATTTGATTAAGGTTGAGAGATGGTTTAAAGGAGGCCTCTCTTTGGTCACTTGGGTCAAGCCAAAAGGCTAACCCAAATGAGCCCAAGGCTTGGGTCTCCAAAAGGGGCCTCTTGGGTGCCGAAGGAGTCACTCCTTGGGTTCAAATGGAATTGGAATAATCTTGGTCAAATGGGTTTGGTGGAATAAGGTGTATGTATCATTTGGTCAACTTAGTTGACTTGGTCAACCGAGTTAACCTAATGCTAGGAGTTGGGTCCCTTGAAATCCATTTGATCATATGAGTCTAATGGATGAGGCATCAAAGTGTGGAAAGGTCATTTAGGTCAAAATAACCATTTTGACCCTCAAGGGACATTAAGGTCAAAATGGGTTGACTTGGCCAACAAAGTTGACCCATTATTGGAATTGAGTCTAAGGGGTTCCAAAGGTTAATTGGAAATACTTGAGAAAGGTTTCAAAGATTGATGATCAAGTCAAATTAAGTCTAGGCCAAAAGTCCAAAAATCCCCTTAAAGGGAATTTTGGTCATTTTGACCTTGAGTCAATTCGTGGACAAATTGAATCTGGAAAGATGTAGACTATTGTTCAACAAGTCAAAATCAGGGTATTAGTGATGATCAAAGGGTTTGGATGGGGCTCCAAGATCAAATTCCACTAGGTGAAGGGTCCAGTGGCATTGTTTGTAAATATTTGAAGGTTTTGCAACCTTTGGAATTAGATTAAGTTTATGAGGTTAGAGTCCTCCAAATGAGCTTAAATTTGGAGGGTTGACACTAGAGACATGTCACATCAATATGCAATTGATAGACCCTAAATTAGATGTCAATTGACTGGATTTCAAGGTGATAGAAAAACCACCCAGAAAGGGTTTTGGAACCTAAGTCTTTAACCCTAGGATTCTGGGTTTGGATTGAGTTAAGATCTGGAATGGGCCTAAGGGCTAGGAACTAGGAAGATCCTAGGATCTAGAACTCAGGGAGGAGTTAAGAGTGACCTCATACAAAAATGAGGTCAACAGATAGTCAAGTGATTGTAGAAAAGTAGACATGTGAGTCTTTAAAAATTGAAAGGGATGTTATCGAATAAAGGTGGTCTAGTGATAGAGTATCATTTATGAGTGTTCTAATTTTTAAAAATAGCCATGATCATTTTCAAAAAGTAGTTTAAACTTTAATTTTTGAAATAGGCTATGATACAACTTGAAAGTTTATGTAGGTTGTTAGACCTTATTGAACTTTCCCATGGCTAATCAAAAGGGGGTTGAATTGGTTATTTTAAAAATTTCTTAGATTTTTTAAAACCATTTCTAGAAATTTTAAGCAATGATCCTTAAATATGCAATTATTTAGATATGATTATCTCAAAAGATTTTTTAACCATAAAACTTTAAAGTGTAAAAAAATAAAAATATAAAAAAAATTAAAGTGAACAAAAGAACATCAAATTTATAGTAGTTCGGTCCAAACTTGACCAACATTCACTCCTTGGAGACTCCTTCTACTTTTATTGCACTAAATCAAAACGACTCTCCTTTTTTCCCCATAGCAAGGCAGAGAAGCCCTTACAAACTCTCTTCCACCAACTTGATGCAGTAGAGAATTGATGCCTTTTATACCCTTCAAGTGATGGAAGCGTACAGTCATATCCTTTTTCACCCTCCTGATGAATGAAGATAATCATCACGACCTTTTTCACCCTCCTGATGAAGGTAAAGAACCTCGACTCAATATTAAAGATCTTCTCTCAAAAGCCTCTAGATAATATAGGCAGAAATTTGAAGAAAATAAAAGAGATCCTCAATTTAGACAACCTTGTGAATACCTCTTATCTCCCCCTCACTTGATCTCTCACACTTCACTCTCAGAATCTCTCCCAAACACTCACACTCAATGGTAACTCTCAAGAGAAAATTACAGCAAAGGTCTTGAATGTCAGTTTTAGGACTTCTTATATAGAAAATATAAGAAAAATCATCCAAAATTTTGAAAATTACAAGTGAACCAACTTCAGATCGTATAGTATGATCATGGATCATTTGAACAAATCATTCAAAAATCCTAGTACGATCTTATACAGACCTAATTCTGTACATTGTCTATCGCATGTACGAACTGACATCATATTGTACGAACAATTCAAAACTAAATGTGTTCATCATGTATGATATGGTATGAACCTTATTTCATACACTATTTGTTGTATATGCGAACTAATATCGTATAGTATGAACAGTTAATACAAATCATTCTTTGTCTAATATGATCATGGATAAATCACATTTTGTATATCAATCATCGGTATGAACTAATATCATATAGAATGAACATTACAAAATTGAATGAATTTGTTTGGGATAAACTGGTATGAACTCGATTTCATACACTATCAGTTGTCTGTATAAACTAACATCGTACAGTACGAACAGTTCAAAAGTACAAGCCATGATTTGATTAACTACATTTTAGAGGAAATAAATATGACAAATTATATAGTACGATTGGAAGTCATACAATATGATTAGTTTTAAAATTTTAAGTTTTGACTCTCTCCCCTTGTATGTGTGTGCACGGTTACCTCATTACAATCACACTCTCTCAGACTCAAGAAAATAAAAAATGAAGATTTACAGACTTTATTACATGAAATCCTAATCTACTCTGTCTTAAAGTCTTGAGCAGTATGGACTATGATTTTCCTGAAATATTAATACACAAACAACAAACAGAAAATGTCCAGTACATGCTTGGAGAAATAATAAAATTAGAAGAACAATAATATTTTGCTATCATAAAAAATAACAATCTCAATATGGATTTCTGAGTTACAACATCCAATTGGATGAATATATATATATATATATTCTTCAATTTTACATTATTCATGTATTATCGCACTTATAGATTAAGTACATGAAGAGAAAATTGATAGAATTCAGAGTTTATTCCATCAATTCCATCAATTCAAAGAGATGAAAGATATGCAAGAAAGATGATGCTTAGTATCAATTTGTTTAGCATAAAGACCTAATAATTATGATCATATCCTTTGCAACTTTTAAGGATCCCTCATATGAGACTATAGGTGACATGGCAAGGTGTTATGCAAGAAAGCCCATAGACTGTTGGCTTTTCAATTCTAGCTCTAATTTCTACTCCAATGCATCTACATGATCATGGTTCAACACATTCCACAATAAATCTCATTTTCTTCTTAGGGATACACAATAATATCAAATCTAGTGCATCAGTCTCCAATAGGAGCACCTTTTCTCTTCATAATATTTTCTTCTTATATTGATAATGTTTTGGTCAACAATACTTATCACAACAACAAACAAGAGTTGACAAAGGATAATGTGAAGAAGATGAAGAAGAATAAAAACAAGAAAAAAAAAAATGCTCATCTTGGCCTTTGGGAATGATGAGGAGAGGACCAAATTGAAACATGCCTAGGTCACATGCAATCCTATAACAATACATAATAAGATAATAGTTCATCTTTTGATAAAGGCTAAGGAAACATGATAAATATATAAGTTTAACAAATAATTTTTGTTCATATTTCTCTTACGTAATTTCACAACTTTCTTTAAAATAACATTGTAATTATCATTCTCCTCATATTTTTCTTAAATTTATTTGATTTTTGTAGGTTAAAATACAATTATTTCAAGACCCATAATTTTTGCCCTTAGTTATGCACTTAAGACATATTTTATCTACTTTATATTCTTCTACACTTATTTATAATTCTTCGGAATCTTCAAATAATTTAAAATATTATATATCTCTACTATCTTAATTTTTTTTATTAAAATTAAATTCGCTTTAAGTCACTAAAAAAAATCTAACCAAATTGAACAGAATCCCACGATTCCGCAGTCATTATCGTTTTAATTTTATTAATAATATTTCATAATTATTTATTTTAATTTAATTAAAAATAATAATTACTTTAAAATCAGACCAAATCATACCAACTAACTCTTATGCTTCCAGATGAGAAGAAATCTACCATTATGAGTCCATTTCCTCGTTTTATAAAAAGGCCTATTTTTCGAGATCACGATTATTGAGCCGGTAAGCAGATCACAGAGGCACGGAGGAACTAAGAAGCCATTAGCACTTAACGAGGTAGAAAGTGGCGAAGGTGCCTTGAGCCGAAGGCAACGTCGCTCTCGCCACCTAGAGGCGCGAGTTCGACAGTTAGGCGGTCGACTCACCGCAGTCGCATCACTGCCCACAAAGGCCGCATTAGGTGGTCCTCGTCGCCGTGATAGGCATGGAAGCTCCCAGCCCGACCTGGATTCCCAGGGAGATCCCAAGCTTCAGTGTGTGAATCTTCTTGTCGCTGGTTTGAGGGAGATTGGAAGAGAGAATGCCGCTTGCGCGATTGGAATTGAGAAACGAGTATGGGCTCGGAGATTCGGAGCTCTACCGTAACGCCGCATCTGGAAAGGAGGGTGCGGAGGCGATCCTCCAAGGAGTTTCAGTCTCGGGACTCGTTGGTATTTTGCGGCTGCTCGGGGATGTCGCCGAGTGAGTTTATCCTCTGCTTCTCTGGCTTGGATTCTTGTTCGATTTTGGGTTTCTCTTTTGATGCACTTCTGCTATTGATTCTGAGCCACATTTAGGTTAACAGTGTGGCCTTTTAACTGTTTGTTTGTGTTAGTTCGGTTGTTTTTTAGAGCTCTGGTTAGGTTATTTGAATGTTCTTGGGTTTTTATTGACTCGTGGATAAGAGTATGAACGTATGATGAAGCAAAATGATTGGGAGGTTTTTTTTTCCCCCCTGAAAAATGAGTGAAATCATTGGTAAAGAAGGGAACTGCGGTAGTATGGATTGTTAGTGGATTTTGGAATGCAGGGTTAAGGCAAATGATTTTGTTTTGATCAATTTCTTCCCTTAACGAGGAATCCATGGTAGAGTTGCCATCTCTTGGGTCTTTGAGATCATTTGGCAGCTCCGCATCGTGCCTGAGTGAGCTTCTTCTCTGTTCTCTTGGTTTATTTGTTGATTTCTTGTTAGAATTCTTGTGAGTTCGGGTTTCATGTTTTCTGGTTTTCTACCATGGATTCTGACCTATATTTAGTTTGAGAGAATGCCATTTCAACCATCTGTTAATGTTGAGGTTTTTGAAAGTTCTGATTGAAAAATTTTAATTTAGTTAGGGTGATTATTTTTGGCTGTGAGGTAGTGCTACATAAAAAATAAAAAAAAATCCCATAAAGTACAAGAATTAGCCCTCTGAAAAGGAAGTTGATTCGACCATTGTTGAGGGTCATATGTGGGACTTCAGAAGATTCCGATGGAGGAATTGGTAACTTGACTAATTCAAGGTGAGATGTGTCAAGGAGATGAAGGGAAGATGGATTGAGTGGGAACTTTGAGGAATTCTAATCCCTTCTATTTCTTTTTCTTCATCTGATTAGCAGATACCTAGAAAAAAGAAAACTTCATATTCCTCTCCAAGATGAGTTTTAGGGTATTTATAACTACAATGTTGTGTAGAGGTACTGTCTCTCCTATAGAACCATTTTCACATTGTTCTCTTGTATAGAATCCTTGTCATATCATCATGAACATTATACATGAAGTAGGTTAAATCCTTTTTTTATAGATTTGTTGTGGGCCTATAAAATAGCTTTTATCTATGATCTCAATATGTATTGTCACTTTAATTAGTTAATTTATAGACTCATATAGCTAATGTTGATGGTACTCTTATCCTTGTTGATTTTACCCATCTGTTCATGTTTGGTATATGTCATTTGGGTGCTGGAAATGTTTTTGACCTTGAGGATACCCTGCATGTCTCTCATAAACCTATGCTTTGTCTAGCATGACTTTTTTCAGTATTTAAGCTTTATTTGAGTCAAGCTGAGTTTTCTAAGACGAGCAAGGATGTTATTTTGGCTATGTATTTTATGTTCTTTTTATTATTTGGTGCTTCTCTAGTTTAGGCTGACTATGCCATGTGGAGCTATGGAATGATTGAGCTATCTAGGTACTCCAATCCAATTGAACTCTTTTGGCCCACCATATTTAACTGGATGTCATGTCAGTTTATTTTGTATGCCATGCCTTGATGACTCATTTAATTCAATCATCTAAAGATGTTTCAACACTTAATAGTTAGACCATTCCTCAAGTGAGAGTGAATTTTTGTACACATTAGTGCTAAACAATTCCCCCCCCCCCCACATACACACACACACACAAATATTTTAAACCATTTCTTTGGAGAAAACGGAGCCTACATGAAGCATATATGGTTTGAATTTTGATATGTCGTCAAAGTATTGTAATCTCAAAACATCTTCTAATGGATGGCTTCACAAGGAAATACTTCTTTTGGTAATGCATCTGGCAAGCTTTAATTGGATGTCTAGATGATTTCTCATTTTCCTCATGGGTTTTTGGGGAAGTGTGATGTTGATCATCCTTCTTAGATTGTAGACATGGGTGGTGGAGGTAATGCAACACCTAGTATAAAAATAACATTAAAGCTATCATCATCGATCCTCACAACTTGCTCCTACCTTTCTTCTTGCTTACTTTTCTCTTTCTTTGGCATGGTCATCCATCTTTTTTCTTTTGTTAGAACAAGTCTTTTTAGAATGATCTTTTCTACTATTATGCTTTTTTATGGAAAATAGTGCATCACAAAGGTTCTTGTGGAATCATAAGGTATAGTGCACAACGTAGCACATGTTATTTTAAAAATAGAGTAAAATATTAAACAATAATGAATAAAAATACGGTTAAATATTAAAGACTATTAGATTGAAAAATAAACTATTCTTAAAAATAATTTAATTGGTGCTTGGGCTCTAGTGCTCAACCACAAAATTTAAAACATCAATTTTTTTTTTCCAAGTCTATATTCAACATTCTTTTAGGTGCCTAGTAGATGAAACTAAAGACATAAATAGGATTTTCATAATAAAAATTTTTTTGAGGGATACATAGATTATTACTACAAGAAAAAACTACTTTGTAAAGAGAAATTTTCCCATCTTTACATGTAAATTGAATAACTAGCTACAAATTATAGTTTTTGTTCTTTTGCATGATTTTCTTTTTGTTTATACTAAAAAAAGAAACTAAGTATATATAGTGCACAAATACATGCCTTTGTGCAAGAATATTGAAGCTTGTATGTGAGAAAGTTGAAGTTGAGAGCTTTTCATTGAAGCCTTGGAAGTCTTTGTACATTGAAGGCAAGATTGTATTGCTCGTGCATCGATGGTTAGATCCCTCGAAGACGAGACTAAGAGTTCTAATAAAACATAATGAAGTTGAAAGCTCGTTGATGTTGAGATATTGCGAAGCTAAGTGTGGCAAGTGAGAGACTAAGAGCCTTGACGAAGGTAAGAGACCGAAAGCCCCAACATGAAGGTGAGAGATTGACAGAAGCTTGCTTGAGTGTTGAGAGTCGGTACCTTACCATAATAAAATGCAAATAAAAATAAAACAACACTATTAAATAAAAATAAGTAATATTGATATTAAATTTAAACTCTGAATTTTAAAAATTAAAGTATCATGCACTATGGGGGCTACATGCTATTTGTTATTGCTTTTGTGTTGCAAATTAATATGGTGTAACAATTAAAGTTTTAATTGAAACTTCGAACTTAACCATGCTCATGCTAAAGCAATACTAGAATAGGTGAGTAGATGACCTTTTGGAAACTACACTAATGGGAGAAATAATGATGTTTGTTTTGTTAAAACAAACAATATATAGATGAATGAGAAACATCGAAGTAAAACTCTTAAACTTCAAAGTGCCTTTCAGTAAACCGGTTGTTATTTTATGAGAAAATTCAAGGTTAAGCATGCTTATGTTGAATCACTCCTATGATAAAGGACCTTTTGGGAAATTTGTATGATAGGAAACATTTGAAGATTTCAAGTAAATCCTATCAAGCTCGGAAAAACAACAAGAAATTTCTTCAAATCTCCAATGAAAACCAAAGAAAATAGTAATTTTATTGCAAAAAATCAAATTAAACAGAAAGAAAATACCAAGATACAATTGATCATCTATTCGAGAGGAGGATCTACCCCTCCCAAATCTCTAGATGCCGCTAGAGCCCAAGAAAACCTAAGAGATCTCAAATTCAGCCAAATTCAAGATGCCCTAACACTAGAAAACAAACTATTTAATGCATACAATCTAAAAGGAAATCTATTAATAGTACTTCTATTCAAATTTTCCTCCTAACTCCCTCAAAAATCATTCCTAAACTCCTCTGTTTGCTCTTGCGGTTGAAGCGACATACAGGAGATGCAAACTCTTCTGCGTCTGTTTCGTTTGAGCCGGTCCTATGTGGACCGGCTAGACTGATCCAATGGACCTGTTTAACAATACTCCCCTCCTAATGACCCACCTTGTCTACAAGATGGAAAGACAACACCCTGTTTCATTCCCTCTTCATCACAAACGGTAAGAACTTGAAGAGTTCGATCATTACACCTGTACTCTAGCGTATACCTCTCGTCACATCTGAAACAGAGTCCCTCAGCCTTTTTCTCCTGTAATTTTGTTTCTGTGAACTTCTTGAAGTTGTCCCCGGGTCTTACTTCTACAATCTTCTCATTCGAAGTCTCCCGAAAAGTACCGTGTCGAATCGTTAGGTGTCAGAAAGGTGATGGTCTTCCTGTTCGAAGCTCTTGAGTTGCTGCATCCCATCTCTGTCCAGGTGTCTTTGATTCTCCACCAATTGAGGTAGCTCTATAGCCTCTCCTAAGTCATGAGGCCTCATTACGTTGTTCGGATCTCTGGTGTCAGTCCCTTCATGATTTTTTCCTCTAGCACTGTCTTAGGAAGGCGGTCCAATCGGCTAGAAAGTTACTCGAATCTCTCTTGGTACTCTATCATTGAACCATTCTGTGTCAAGGCGAAGAACTACTCGTAGAAGTCTCCTCCATTGCCAGTTGGGAAACATTATACCAAACAATCCTTGAACTCTCTCCAACTTCGCATGGGTCATCGCATGTTCCTCCTCCTGATACCCAGACAAAGCCTTCCTTTTCAAACATAGGTCCACTGCCATCAATCTCTCCTCCTTGGTCAATCCATTGATGGTGAAATATATTTCTATCTTATAGATCCACTCGTTCCATACTCAAAATTGACATCTTCAAATTCCGCACCCTCGGATCGCCTTCGTTCCCTCTGTTCCCTCCATAATTTCCCATTCCCCAAGTTAATAGTTCCTCCCAAGTATCTCAATCTTCCCTTCTACACTCATACACAAACCTTTCATCAAATTCTCAGTCTTCTTTCAAATTCAGCATCCCTTGGATCATAATAAATCTCTTTCCTTTCAATTCCAGCCCCTCTTTGGTCATAATTACTCTCTTTCCCTTTCAAATTTCATCCTCTCCTCTCAAATTCAGCACCCATTTGTTTATGCTCCACCTCCTCGCGCTTCTCCCCATACCCTCTACCCATCTCTCCCATAGGAACAGACTCTAGGGGATACATTCTCTCTTTTACCCTTTTGAGTCTCCCTCCTGATCATCCATTTGCCTTGTTAGATTAGATTTTTTCCCCGCTTCCTGGGTTGCCAGAGGCTTCTCTCCCCTCTGACGACGTCATTTTGGATTGGCCCTCAAGCAACTTCTTCAGCATCTCCCCCAGGATGGAAAAATTCCCATTCATCTTCTTGTGGATGATTGAAATTTGACTTTTGACATCCGAAAGTTGAGTGTGGAGATATGAAATTTTAGTTTTCAATTGTCAGATCTCCCCTTCCAACACTTCTACATTTCTTCCTTCCATGAGAACTTGGATTTAGGCTCCAATAGTAAGAGCCGCAAGTTTGACGCGAATTTTGGCCTCCAATCAGCTAAAACAACACGATCGGATACGGAACATAGCAAACTTTAGCGAGGAAGACTTCTATTTCAACCCAGGAAATTGCGCTGGTACCAATTTGATAGGAAACACTTGAAGATTTAACGTAAATCCTATCAATCTCGGAAAAACAGTGAGAAATTTCTTCCAATCTCTAATGAAAACTAGAGAAAACAATAATTTTATTGCAAGAAATCAAATAGAACGAAAAGAAAATACTAAGATACAATTGATCCTCTATTCTAGAGGAGAATTTATCTCTCCCAAATCTCTAGACATCGCTAGAGCCCAAAAATACCTAAGAGATCTCAAATTCAACCTAATTCAATATGCTCTAACCCTAAGAAAACAAACTATTTAATGTATACAATCCACAAGGAAATCTCTAAACTGTCTCTACGTTCAAATTTCTCTTCTCTCCCAACTTCCTCAAAAATCCTTCCTAAACTGCTCTGTTGGCTCCAACGGGTTGAGCGACGTACATGAGAGGCAGACTCTTCTGCCTGACCCGGTCCTATGTGGACCTATTGGACCAGTCCAATGGACCGCTCTAACATTGTACTAATGGGAAAAAATGACGAGATATGTTAGTTAAAGTGTGTGATATCTTAAAATTTTGGTCTAGACATGCCCCATGCATCCTTCATTAGCCTTTGACTTGTTAAGCTTTCAATTCTTTAATTGTCAAGTTTCATTTGAGTCACTGACCTCTCTAAGCTAAGCAAGTAGGTTGCTTTGGCTGCTAATTTGACATTCTTGTTTACAATGAGGTTTATCTTGGGTTTCAATATCGCTACATTCTGCTGAGCTATTTGGGTACTCTATGTTTAGCTCTTTTGGCAAAAATAAAAAATAAAAATAAAAATAAAAATAATTAAAAAAAATGTTTAGCTCTTTTGGCCTTTTGTCCAGTTACTCTAGGTGTTTGGCTAGGTGATGTGTTACTCCATGCTTCATCTCAAGCATTACTGACTTGGTTGACTCAAGCGCTTGAGCTGTCCCGCCATGTATACAGTCTGGTTCGTTCCTCAAGTCAAAATGGATTTGGCCTCCACAACGACATCTTTAACTATAGCTAGCTTGTCATGACTGAGACACTTCGTTGATAGATTAGATTAGAAAGGTATGATGGAGATAAATGATTGAATTTTTTTCCTTTTTAACATTTCTATATGGAATTACAAGGGACTCTCATATTGACTTAAATTATATGAGATAATGCTATAATTGTATGGTTAGAAGATTTGCAATACAAAGTAAAGGAAGATGATTTTGTTCTAATATATTGGCATGCTAGGAAAATTTTTTATTGTTCGGTAGCTTGAACATTTTAGCATCGGATTAACCAAGATGAAATTTTGATTATGCGTTGACAAGAGAAGCAGTGGATACAAAGGAGATCCTTGGTTCATTTGACATTAGTAGGCTCATTGCAATCTTGAAGCAGCTCGGTGACATGGTGGAGTGAGTTTCCGTGCTGCTTCTCTTGTTTTAATTGTCTCGTTCCTGCTAGGACGCTGCTTCGATTTTGGATTTGAATTTTTTTGTTCTTCCCGGGTGGCTTCGGTACATTTAGGTTGAGAAATTGCCCCTTTTAACCCTTCTTTTTCTTTTAACGTGAATGTTTTTGAGAGTTGGTTGTAATTTTGGATTTTCTGAAGGTTTTCTGTTTGGTGGATCGGATTATGATTATGATGGAGGAAAATGATTGGGATTTCCTTATTTTCTTAAAATTTCAACGAGGTCTAGTTTTGCAACACCAGTGAAGGGCAAATTATTTTGTTCTAATCAATTAGCATGCTAGAAGGATTTTCTCAAAGTTCAGTAATCATACATTCAATTAAGAAGAATTGAAGGATTGGGCACATTGTGCTGTTGAACAATCTATTGATGTGCTTGATTGAGTCTGATTACAAAAGTGTTGTTTCAAATTTTTTATGCTTGTGTTAATGAAATCAATTTTGCTAGAGAAATTATCACCCTCTCTTAATTGAGATGTTATTTATAACATGCATGCCTGTACTAAAACAAATGTCTTTTGAACTCACAGGTTTGGTGCAGAAATTTTTCATGACTTGCATGAGCAAGTAATAATCACAGCTGCAAGAGGACAAAAAATGCTTTCAAGGATAAAAAAGATAGAAGAGGCACTTCCATCTATTGAAGATGCTATTCATAGAAAAGCAAGTTACATAGATCTAGTTTATGAAATTGGTATTACTCCTATCAATTTCAATTCAGCCAACAGCTTAAACTCAGTCGGTTAAAAAGGGAATTTTGCTGAAAATTTTTTCCATGCATTTAGATGCTGGTGACCAAAACTATATTTTTATGTCAAAAAACTGGGTTGTATAAGGACATATCTTTGTTATCTTCTAGTCCTCCGAAGTTCATGTAGTTAATTAATGGATCTTTTTATTGGATTAAAATCTGCAACATCATAAATACAAGTTGGTCAAATCAAGGAGGTGGTGTTGCAGATTCAATTTGATGTAGCCATGTAGAAGCAGAATTCCTAATGAAAATTAGGAAGAGCAGTCAGCTTTCAGAAGTTGAGATGGTCTTTGAAAGATGAATGCTTTTCCACACTTGAATCTTATGAAAGGTTAATCCTTTCTTTTAACGAAATTACAAGTAGAGAAATCAATTTTCAGGGATTGTTTAACTGCTTTAACTTTAGATTAGTAATTCAGCAAACACTCAACAGGCACACCAAGACTATAGTTAGAAATTATGTCAAAATCAGAAGCAGGCTACATCTTCTCCTCTATAAATGACAAAATATGTCGATATATGAAGCATATTTTAACTAGCTTTAGCAGATCTAAATGCGTGATTATGTTGGTCTTTGGCTAATGATAGCAATTGCACTTCAAGTCCCTGATGTCAATTTGTCAGCTTTCAGGTTCTAGTTGGCATGCTGATCTTAGGATCATGGATGGTCGCCTATCTTATGATGATTTACCACCATTTATAATGGAGTCATATGAAGAATGCCGGGAACCACCACGCTTGTACCTACTTGACAAGTAAGATGGCTATTTATCAATTGTCTATGCAGTCTAATTTATCTAGAAGCTTGTTGTTTATGACATCCGTTTTTGTGGTTAAGATATGATCGTGCTGGAACTGGAGCCTGTTTAAAGAGATACTCGGATCCATCATATTTCAAGAGGGCATGGGCAACCTCAGAACCAGAGAAAGCTCAACAAATTCAAAAAGAAAAGAAACTTAAGAAATTCAAGGTTTGTTTATGTTCGAACTGTAACAAAATCAGCTGCATCTTAGTTATGTCTTTAGCATAATCTAATGATTTCTTCCACAATAGTTTGCCATTTGCATTTCTTAACATATCAAAGACCATATCAAAGAAATGGTCGTCCTGATTGTTTTCTCAGAATAGTTGAAAGCCTTTTGACATTTATAAATTTTTCTTGTCAAATCTCCAATTTTGTCTAAAAAATAATCTTATTATATGTAGGCTCTCCATAATCAATTTTCTCCTCTATTCCATACACATTCCTGCTTGATTTAAATAAGACAGGATGTGGGGTACATCATTTTCCTTATGAACATGCGAGTGACACGTTCCTTTAACACTAATTTTGGTGATGCACCAAGTTCTCCAATAGTTTAAGCAACAATCCCATAACACATTTATATTTGAACTCATAGGTCTTGTTCCATGAGTTCAGCTCTAGCAATCTCCAAGCCTCATAGAGCAAATCTCTTTCTCCCGAACCCTCATCTCAAGCTAAAGTGGACAACTAGGTTTGTACTTGACAACTAGAGTACTCACTGTAACACCGAAAATTTATTATTGAAGGAACATATGACCCATACGTCTACCACATTTTCCTTTTGAGCATTTGTCTTGCATATTCCTTCTCAGTTAGTTGGAGCATACCTCCTATGGCTCCATCAGATTAACATTCTGAAATTTAAAGGCCCTGCTTCATAATCTTAACTCTATCATCTTCAACCTCTTCTGGAGCCAATCTCAGCTCTCCAACAATGCATTTCCAACAAGCTCAACTCGAATTAGTCCATGCTAAGTGGATTTGAAGTTATAAGCGACTGCTAGGGCCATGCTTGGTAAGCTAGAGAGCTCATGGTGGCGTTAAGAAAATTATTATAGAAGGAGCATGTGATTTACATGTTCAAAAAGAGCATGTGGCACACCAAACAATTGTAGGCACAATTTAGATGGAACACATCTCAGCGTAAGTTACCCTAACATATCTTGTCACATGTATTTATGAGGATATTTGGTAAGAGTGTCTCTCACAAAGTAACTTGATATTTACTAAATTTTGTCTCTCACAAAGTAAATATTGTATCTTGATTGAGCATTCATAATTATTGTATCTTGAAAGGAGCCTCATAAGAGGTTCATTTTTTGCCATAATATTAAGCTAGGGGAATTTTTTTATAATTTACTCAATTACTTAATGTTTTATGGTCATTGCGTTACATATGTTCTATAGTGGATTGCATAGTATCTATTTGATTGCATTAAGCTCTATACATATTGATGTTTGTAAATTAGGATGCATGGAGAATCACATATAAGGAATCCTGTAATTGCTTTATGTAGTGTGCAAATTGGGATTTCAGATCATCGAATTAGCTAATGTAGGTGAATCATCTCTGGTTGCATGAATGGATTGGTAAATTTTCTTTTGTTTGTTATCCTATTAGTGGTTGCTTGCGTCTATATGAAGGGATTAGTTCTCTAGCCTTTCTTTTGGTGAGAAACTGAGAGATTTCCCTTGGGTTCACATACCCTCTTGGTTCTAAGATTTTTGAAGAATTGATAGCTTTAGTACTGCATGCGAGGAGAAGCAGATTTTATATGAGGTAATATATTGTCGTGAGATTTTTGGACTTGTTTTTAATTTTGAGAATGGATATATTCAGAATTTGGGAGGAGTGGTAAGTGCTCTTGATTTTTAGTCTATAATTATGATTTTTGTTTTCTAGTGGATTGGATCCTCTATTTGTTCGCATGGACATCGGTTTAATTGAAGCTAAACCTTATAAAATTTGGTATTTTTTGTTTCTCCATGTTGTCCTAAAATGGCGGCCTTCCAATAACCTGGTTAGGAGAGTAGATGTATTAGATTTGACTTATGTTAAGAAAGGTAGAGGTAGACATAAAAAGACTTAGTTTAAAAAATATTAGAAATGATCTTTCTTTATTAGATTTAATGAATATTTAACTCTTAATATGATACAATGGAGAAAAAGAATTCAAGTAGTTGACCCCAAGTAGTAGTATAAAGGCTTGATGATGTTGTTTTGTTATAGTTTCTAGCACATCATTCTGACTTATGATGATGATTTAGCATCGTATCTTTGGAACCATCATTCCAAGAAAGCCAAAAGAGATCACTAGGGTCATGCTTCATCAACCAGAGAACTCATCTGAGAACAAAAAAATTACTATTGGAGGAACGTCTAAGCCAACTGTTCAAAAAGGACATGTGCTACCCCTAACCTTTGTCCAGTTTAGGTAGGACTTGTTTCAGCATAAGTAACCCCAACATACCTTATTACTTGTGCATTTTGAAGGATTTACGGAAATAGTATCACACGAGTCTGTTTGACAATCCTTAAATGCTTTTTACATTCTCTCACAATCTTTGCTTCCTGATTAAGCATCCAGTTTCCATGATCCATATCATCCCATGATGCTTCTACAGAATACTCATTCATCCCATGATTTCAATAAATTGGGATTAGTCTCTATCTTTCTCCCTCCCTAATGCACTCACAATATCATGTCATAATGATGAATGACTGACCGCATAGGGTCTATACTTAGCAAGTAGATTGTTGATTTCTTTCCTACTTTGTCTTTAGTTTGTATATTTGAAGATGCAACACATAGAATCTGTCCAATTTATATTTCATATCTATGCTTTTCTTAAATATTATGGCCATAATCATATATTACTTATATCCTCTTTCATGAAAGTTTTTGCTTACAAAATAATATATTGATGGGCTTAAATGTGTGTCTTATTATACCTTCCAGAGAAAATTATCACGATTTAGAGAAGGAGATGTTCAAGACCCAATATCTTCATCTCAATGTAATAGGTATCTTCCTCCGTATCATAGCACAAAAGTATACAATTCTTCTGTTGTGTAACTTCTACTTTTTTTCTTGAGGACATGATAACATATTTTTTTGAAATAACCAGTTTAGCGAGCAGTGAAAGATTTGCACCACTAAGTAATGATGACCAAAGCTTGTCAGCTGAAAGTTCATTGGTGTCCGAAATGAGATTAAAATCTGAAGCTATAAGTGCTCCCCAACTTCTGCATACAATGAACAAGTTGAACTTTACTGGACATGTTTCAGAGACAAATCATTCAATTTTACCTAATGATTTGGATTGTGATAGATTATCTGTTTCTAATGTACAGAACAATCATGATCATCCCGGTTCTTCTCAGCTACATAATGATGAACTTGTATTTGATGCGGATGATGATTCTCAATATGATTTCCCACATTGGAAGGCTAATTCACGGTCACCTTCTGTTATATGGGATGAGAAATCTGAATTAGTGAAGGCTGCAGGTGTCAACTCTGATGATTCTTTTCAAGATTCTAACTCTTTGGTTGTGAATTCTGAATCATCAAAAGTTGAGGAACCTACTAGAACTAGATCTTCGAACCAAGTAAAGCCCCTGCCAATTATTGCAGATTTATCCGGATCATCTTGTGATCAAAAGCAATTTGAGGAAATTAATGAGACAGACAATTACGTAGACGCTCTTAATACACTGGAATCAGAGGCAGAAACAGATTCCGAATGCCAAACAAAATGCATGCAAATTTTGTCTAACATGGAGCATCAGAAAAATGAATCTGGAGTTTCAGGTACGGTTCAATATGATGGCTACGCTAATATTGAGGCTCCTATGTCACTCCATGAATCCTCAAACGAGTACAGATTGCCAAATGTTACCTATTTAGATGTTTCAAGAATGCCAGAACTTATGCAGTCATCCCGGGAAGCTGGCTTATCTCCAGGCTCGCTGTATGATGAGAGACAACTTCTCAAAAATAGTGTTCACACAATGTTAAGAACAAATGCTTTTCAAGGAACTGATGATGATCAACCTCCTTGTTCTACTGAATCCATATCAGGAACTATGCTGAACAGTGAAACTGCAGCAGCAGCAACATCGCAGATTCAGAGTTCACCTCCGATCAGTATTTCGAGTATTCCTTCCACAAAATTATGGACAAATGGCACCCTTCTAGGACTTGAACCCTCAAAACCTGGTGATGTTAGTCTCCCAAATGGAACTGGGGAGAGGACTCGGTCTGATAGTTTGGACAATGGTGTGAAGTCAGATAAACAAGTTATGGTTAATGGGAAGATATCAAAGCAATCGAACTCAATTGGCAAAGCGCAGGGTTTGCCTGAATCTTTAAGCTTGGCGGATCAGAGAATTTTGAACAGCAATCCATTCTTGAGTAGGAAATATTTATTTGAAGAAAATAGTTCCGTAAAACATTCCTCGGCATACATAGCACATAATGATGATGGCTTTGGCGCACAGCTTCAGCTGAATTCTCAAGAACAATCTGAAGCTCTTTCATTAAGTGATGAGAGTGGAGGAAGTCAAGTTGCGTCACCAAATGTATTAACTACTAGCATTTGTCAAGTACATCAAACAACAAAAAGTGCTTCTAGCAAGGAATCTGAATCATGCAGTGCATTTAGCGTTGCTTCACCATCCATGGATTCTGTGCAGAACAGCAAATTTTTGTCTCCCAGTTTTTCTGGATTACCACAAAGAAATCTTGTACGGTGTGTTAAAATAAAACCATCAGTTTCCCATGCTAAAAGTTCCACCCGATATGAACTGGGAATTGTTGACGATGGTCAATTAGGGGATAAACCTCTTTCTGATAATCAAAGTAGAAGGCTAAATGGAGTTGCATCACAAACATTCTACGAGGAGAATCTTGCATCGCAAACATTCCATGAGGTGAGTCTCATAAATAAATCTGATTATGGATCGTTGGAAAAGTCAAATTCTTCTGGTTCTCTCTACTCTCGGAATTCCTCCCCACCATTGGAGCATATGAAGATATCATTTCATCCTTTGAATAGTCTAGAGGCATCTAATCTTAAACTTGAACTACCTGATGGCTGTATAAACCAAAGGATAGATGGAACTGCGTTTTCTTCATTCCGTTTGTTTCCAGGATGCACTCTTCCTGAACAAGATGGTGGGTCTGAATCAGATGACGACACCTTCTGTAAATCAAACACATATTCATCTGAGGATCTCCTCAGTGCTCGCTCAGATTCAAATTCTGAGCTTTGGGAGCAAGATGATTTTCCTGGAAGTAGAACAAACGAACTGTCTGATGATTTACGGAGAATTTCATCATCGACAGCATCTATTTCTAGCGGCAGTGGGTTTGAGCACATGAACCATTTGGATCAAGAAATTGGATTGAAGGATCTTTGTACTGGGAATGATACAGATTCTTTTCAGCCTAGTTATACTTCAAATATTCCCACTTTTGAATCATTACTAAATCAAGATGTAAAATATGATTCATTGTCAATTAGTCCCAATAATGCTACAACGTTAACTCCAACTGAACTGCCACCACCACCACCTCTTCCTCCAATACAGTGGAGATTGGTGAGGTCTTCATATGAAGTACCAGAAGATAACTATTATAATATTCGTCAAATGGTTCACCATTTTGAGGGCGCTCAGAATCAAAGCCCACCTGCCCCTGCAGAAATTGAAAGCATTATTCGATGGCCATTACCCCTTGCAAAAGATGGGCAATACAAGGAAATGGTAATTAATTCTGTTGACATGCTTTGCATTTATCATTATCATATAATTCATCGTTATTATCAGATTTTATTCTTTTTTTTATTTTTCACCGTCTTTAACTTATGCTTTCAGCAAGATAATCAGGTGGATAGCCGTCTGCTGACACATGAACTAGACAATAGGGAGCAGATTCTTCATCTAATCAGGGACACGGTAAGTTTCAATCTTTGTTTCTCAGAAAACATATGAACATGATGGTCTTACTAAAACTGTAAACATGTCAAGCTATATGCGACTTACAGTGATATCATAATTTAGGCTTCGTTTGGGACGGCTTTTTTATTGCTTCTTAAAGTGACTTTTTGGTAAAAAAAATAAATTTTTTGTACTAGAATGCTGCTTTAAGAAGTAGTGAAAAAGCCATCCTAAACGAAGCTTTAATTTAGTAGAACGCTAGGACCATCTGCTATTTTAATTAGCTCGGTTAGATAATTCATTACCGTATAAAGCAATGGAATTACAAGTTATCAAATATTTTTCTTATACTCAGCGCTAGGATTTTTTTATATATATAAATATTTTCCAGAACCTTAAAAAGTGTTTTCGTATAACTTCTTCATGATCATTGAAATTGAAATCCTTTTCTTGAGTGGTGGGCGTGGGTGGTAATATCTATGACATAACATGACCTCTAGATGTTTTATTCATAATTCACTTGCAAATGTCCTTGACAATTTATCTAACAATATATCACTTATTTTGATAGAAGTTCGAGTTCTCATGCTAAACTTAAAGCAAGGCTCTCAAATGCCTCAATTTCTTTTTCTCTCGCTTTCTGACCTTTTTCATGAGTTGTTTCATATACTCTGAAGGAAATTCAGCACAAACTGAAACAACCTGAAGAATCAAAGAGTCAAATTGCTAGTAGTGAAGCGGTTGACGATAAGGAAGATCTACTACATCAGATAAGGACCAAGGTATGTCTTCAATATTCATATTTTAGAAGTTATGTTTTGAAGCTGATTTTCCTACTGTAAAATGTCCTATAACGAACTACATGGTATGACATTAATCTATGCATAAATTTTAGATACCGTAGTTTGGCCTCTTTGTAGTTAATGGATTCGAAGAAGAAGTTAGCACGTCAAAATTTTAGTATAGAAACTTAGTGTTGAAACCATTCAGTAAATCCTTATCTAATGGACATTCTATGAAAAATTATGAAATAAGCCTTCGTATTTCCTGAGTGAAGGAGCTAATAGGTTATCTACACGAACTAAGCAATTGGGGAATGTTTCTGCTCCATGAAAGAAAAATGGATTACAGGTGTTATAACCCAATCAAGCTCTTAGGATCAGAGTCATGATTATTCAGTACTTACTATTAGAAGCTTTTGAACTAGAATTAAATACAGGAAGATGGAAATGAATGGAAAAAATGGCATGGGCAAGAGAGAGGTCGGGCAAGTTGGATGTATCCTAACTGTTTACAAAGAGTAGAGTTGCTTAGTTACCTATTCGGATAGCTCTCGTGATCAAAATTTGCAAAGGGGCTGAATGTGCCCAAATTAGCTCCGAATGATGTGATTTAACCCTAGACAAGATTCAAAGTCTTGTTCAAGCCATTACCACTTGGATCTCTCGAAATTGAATGTCAATTACTATGATCAGCCGTACTTTGTATTGGCTAAACCGGTCTATTTGATCAATTATACCGTGTGGCTTTGGGAAAATTATTACGTCCGAATATCCACTAAAAATTTGACACGTTGAGTGCATTTTAGTTGCGCTTTTTTTGTGCAGTTTACCTGTGCTTTAGTTGCGCTTTAATTGCATTTTACGGGTCCGTTTGGGACGGCTTCACGGCTGCTTTGCTTTATAAAAAATTAATAAATGTTCGTTTGGGGCATTGCGGCAGAGCTAAGTCAGAAAAAATTTCCGCGGTCCGTGACTATTTTCTGCGACCTCTCATGCCTCCCGCGGTCCGCTGCTTTCCGCGATTTCCAGCATAAAAATGTCGTAAATGCCGCGACCTTTCTTCATTCCTCTACCCCAACGATCCGTAAATCAACATCTTTCTTCTTCTCTGCTTTTTCGCCTCCAACGATCTGGATGGGAGAAAGCGAGGCCGGCTTCGCAGTGGACGCGCCACATCTGGAACGAAGAAGGGGATTCGGGCCAGACGCTGGAACCGTGGGAGTCTGAGCCACTGCGAAGCCATAATGCCGTGGTAGTCCGAAGTTCCGTGGGAGTCCGAGCTAGATGGGAGAAAAAGCGATGGGAGAAAGCCATAACGCCGGTGTTCCGTGGGGATTCGGGCCGCACCATCTGGAACGAAGAAGGGGATTCGCCTCCGACGTCGACTTCCGTGGGAGTACGAGCTGGATGGGAGAAAGCGAGGCCGGCTTCGCAGGGGCCGCGCCATCTGGAGGGGATGGGAGAAAGCGAGGCGTCGTCAAAGGAAGGGGATTCGGGCCAGACGCCGGTGTCAAGGACGCCGATGATGACGGAGCCGGAAGCAGCATCAGTGGCATGGAAAGGGGATGAAGGGGAAGAGGGAGAAAGACAGAGGAAGAAAGGGGTGCGAGTGGTGTGGAGGCGAATCAAGGGGTCAGGGTGAAGGTGTAGGACGGCAGGGGAGCGGCGGCGAAGGCGTGAAGTGCGTCGGAGTAGGAGTAGATCATATAAATTTACAAATAATATTTGATATTTAAGTAATTTTATTTTATCACAATATATGTAAGGTTATAAACGTAATTTGTTCCTACACAGCATCAGCACAGCAGCTCGAAAGTTATTCTTCCCAAACAAAATATACTGCTTTTTATAATGTAACTTCAAAACTCAACTTTTTGTACATCAACTTCACAACCTGCTTTGCCGACAGCTGCAGCCGTCCCCAATGAAGCCTACATGCGTTTTAGTTGCGTTTTTTGTGCGCTTGGCTTAAAGTTCTGCGGGCACATTAAACATATTGAATATCCACGTGTCCACTCCACATGTTGACATTTTGTTGACGTCCGGACCTATCTCTACGTCCGGTATCCGGACCTAATAATTTTCCGTGGCTTTGTGCCTGCATAGCATGCCACAAGTTGGTCAAAACCTGCCACTGTAGTCTCCTAGGGGTGGTTAGAAGGCTGAAGAATTTTTTTTTTTCTTTTGTAATATACTGAATTGTTGATAAAAATAATTTCTTATGATACTCTAAAATCCAGACATTGAATCTGCGACGCACAGCGACATCAAGGTCAAGTTTTGTTGCACAGCCCACCCCTAATAATAGGGTCGCCGCAATATTGGAGAAGGCTAATGCCATACGCCAGGTTCTTCACATTCTCATGCAGCTCTCCATTTCGTGCACTATGTTCTTACACATTTTATATAAACTTAACTTTCTTCAATAATGTCAGGCATGTGCAAGCAGCGATGAGGACGACAGTGATGATTGGAGTGATGGCTGACCTTTTGACCTTTCTCAAACTGCCAATTACGAGTTCTTATCTACTTCTGTAGACCGGCCAAAGGACAAAATTCTTATGATGAATTCCTTGCAGATTTTGACAGGAGAAATGAAAACAAAAAACCTTTAGATATGTATAGAGATTTGTGTTTTGTTGATGGAAAACAAATCTCAATGCATATTTTATGAATATTTTCATTCCTCTCCACAAATTCATTGAGGAATTTCTCATAGAAGTTTTTGTCCTCATACATATTTGGCTTTGCATGGCAGTTCCATAAATTATGTGAATAGTGCAAGTTCTTGTTTCTGCAGATATAGTAGGCATTCCATTTGTTATATATTTCTGATGAGTAGTTTATTTCTATTGTTATTGATTTAAGTTGTACTGAGAAGAATTAATTCGTATCAATGTAATATATATCTTTTTCTTTCCCATTCTTTACTTAAAGAAGAAGTCATAATAAAAAATAAAAAATTAAAAAAATAATTAAAAAAAAGTTCATAATATCTAATGTTAACATGAATGTAGAGCAGCATTGTTTTGGAATCTGACATCGGCACTAGAAGTCAGAGCAATGTTCTTTTTTTGGGGACATTTAGGCCATTTAAGGCAAACTCACACACACAACGCATACACATGGACTCGAACCTTGAATCTCTTAGTTGGAAGCCTAAGCTCTCAACCAATAGACCAAGGGGAGTTGTGTAGAGCAATGTTCTTACAGTCTCCACCCATCATTGAATAGATTTGGTAATAGATGTCAGAAGTTTGGAATGTAGTAATAAAAAAAGTTTAGTAAAGAAATTGAACTTAAACATGAAATAGATTTAAAATTCTATTTCTAAATAAATTAGTTGAAATTTGGTTAATCATCAATAAGTTTAATTCAAAATTGAAGTTAATGTTTTTTTTTATGGCAAAAATAGAAATTTCATTGATAAACATGAAATATTACAACGGCGTTGCATCAAACCTCCAAAAAATCTTGGAGCTCAAAAGAGAAAAAAGAAATGTTGGAGCTCAAAAGAGAAAAAAGAAATGAAATGCTCAATGCAAGCAAAAGATGGCAAAGCCATGCACAAATATGAGCAATGCTTCAAAAAAAAAAAAAAGAAGAA